TCAAGATATATGGAGTCCAACAAAATGTGATGGTTGGGGAAGGGACCCACGCTCAAGAAGATTCAAAGCCAGTTGTAGCAATTGCATCAATTGCAAGATCTCACTATCGGACTTCTGAAGTGCACGGACATGTCCTGAGCATGGGCCCCGGAGTTCAATACAAGCAAGCTGTCAGGATCATTTGCGAGCATGCTCATTTCAGCGTGATGTCATTATTTTCTCCTGTGCCGCGATCACACGTTTATTTCATGTCGTTTTTATTTGTAACCTGGAAGTTCTGACTTCTTCACTTGGCGTCGTAGTGTTGGAAATTAAACCACCCAGTAGCAACCGTAAGCACCAATCAAACCAACCGAGGACTAGGCATCCTGAGCAAATTTGGCCATGTCCAGGTTGTCAGGTTTGAGCAGCTAAAGGTGCTAAAGTCACCACTCACTGCATGCAAGCAGCTGCAAAAATGTCAAGCAATTGGAAACATGGATTTGGGTTTTGACTTTGCATTTTTGACAGGCCCAAGGTCTAAATAGGTGTCAAGGAATCACATGCTTTATTATAAGTGGGTGCTTTCATGTTGGAACCCAAAAAGATTACACTGGGTACCGGTCGAACCAGAACATTACTAATATAATATTAATGGCAAGCTGCTCCGTCTCCGACCCGCTGCTCTAGGTGATCAAGTAGTGGCTGGCCAGCACCTCCATGCATGGTTTGCCCAGAGCTGAGTATGATGCAATTGAAATGGCAAATTTCAAGCTGAAGTTGATATAAAGTGGTGTGATTTCTTTGTGCAGTGCACTCATACCCAGCCAGCATTATACGATTCTTTTTATCCTCCTCTAAGATCGTATTGGATTGAGGCTTTCCCCAATCAGCATTCAGGCTGCAAGCCATCAGAATATATATTGTTTCTCACTTGAAATGCACACATGCAGCATGTACGGAGTCTGCAGCATGCAGCCATGAATGCACATGTTCTTTTGCCAAAACACATGCACGGACTTGCTAAAGCCAAGTGCACACCTACATACGCTGCATGCTGATACAACCAGCTCTAAATCGCAAATCGTTTGGAAACGTTTTCTGTGCAATGATTGTTTGAGAAATGTAGGAGTTTTGACATCATAAATGTCAGCCATGTTGTGCAGCAGACCTTTCCATCTTGATGTGGAAAAAAATATATAGATCTTGGCAGCATGCCCAGATCTCTCAAAATCCCCTGATATGTCAACGATGCCACAGCTTCATGCAGCATCCACATCCCCGCTCAGAATGCCCACTCAGAATCGCTCAGGCCGATCACTTCTCATTCTTTGGCTTCAACTCGGATGCAGGCCAGGGGTTTTCGAAACTTTGTGAATTTATGAATCGATTCATGCACAGGTTGTGCAGTTTTTCTGATGCATAAAGCATTCCTCAAAACATCATATAGTCAGATCAAGTCACAATATTCTTCTTCGCTGTCTGGGCAGCATTCTTGTGCTTCTCGATGCAGCTCTTGACCTTTTCCAGGCACTCACGCACCTGCAGCAATGATTGATCCGGGGGCTCAGCAGTTGTTGGTGGCTCCTGTTCTGAAATGTTGACTTTTGAAACAGCATTCCAACCCAAAGTCACAATTCCAATTTTGCTGATGGTTTGTGATTCTGATGTTTTTTTGGGGCTGAGTCAGACCTCTCAAATCTGGACTTGGGGCATTTGATGGGGCGACCATTCGGAATGTTGCTAGATGTTTGTCAAAAAAACAAATTTAAACATCGAGAATCATTGTGGTAGTGATGCCGTGCCTCCTCCTCCGAGGTTGCATTTTCAAGCGTTTCACGGTGCCCTTTAAGAGCCGTCGACGCTTCTTCCAGGTCTTGCATCAGGGCTGTCAGGAAGTGCTGGTTCCTGGGATGCTGGTTCAAAGTTTTTTCATTACCAGTGAACCACGACTCGGTACATGTACTAAAATAAAAGTTCTATTTGATGTCATTTGTGCTACCATCAACACATGTTGGAGCTACAAATGAGAGTTCCATCATTCTGCAAAGGGTAATGATTGAGAATCTGACACACCACTCTCTTTGAGCTTTTTTTCGATGTCCGGCTTCTCCCCAACACAGCTGGCGATGCTGGTGATTGCCTGAATGCAGGTGGTTGCTGGAAGTGCACCAAGCTGCAGAAGGCTTGCACTGAATGGTTGGGACAAAGCATGCAATAAATGGACACATTTTTTTGGTCATGAGTTACGGCAACCCATGGGTCGAAATGAGGAACATATCCGGCCTGCTTTTTGTTCTTCAGCAGCTCTCTCTGTGCTTCCGCTGCAGGGTCTTCCTCCTCATCGCCAAAAACCGATTCAGGCTGTGCAGCAGTCAGGGAATGTCATGGTGGGATTTTGTTTGAACTGAAAAGGTTTTGGGATTCCAAAATCATTTTTAAATAATCGTCGTAACTGGGTTTTCGGGATTGCAAATCGTTTGGCTCACTGACCGGACTTTGGACAGAAATCTTCAAGGATATCCAGCCTTCTGTCTCTTCTGCCCTCGTGTGGACACTCTGGCCTTTGGCTTTCCCTTTGGCTTTGGCCTTCTTCCCGTGGCCCCTGATGCTGTCGAGGTTACATCTCGCCTCACAATTGCAGTATGGAGCGAGGCGGAGGCAGGGGACTGCCCTGGATTGTTTGAGAGAGACCATATGATCTCAGTTGGATAAGACAATTGGATATCAGTTAGCTATTCCAATATAGTATGGATCCTGGTTATCATGGAATATAGATCAGACAAGGGAAGATCTTTGGATAGAGACTTTCGAAACTCTGCTTGGATAATTTAATGGAACTGGAATAGGTGTATCAACTCAAGCGTTTTGTGTGCATTCCTGCAGCTTTCCCCCCAAACTTCAATTTCTGGTTCCTTGGCTCTAGATCTCAAAGCCATGGTCCGGCACAGCAGCATTTCGGAGAAGTATGTGCACTGCTGGAAGGGAACGGCATCCGGATTCAAGCCCCTTGTATTTTATTTTTCCCTTATTGTCCAACGTTTTCATGTCTCTTCTGTATCGCATCCTATATAATAAGGACATGAATCCAGATTAGGGTTTGCACGGGGCCTACAAAAATGGCATGTTTCAGGGGACATCATCCAATTTTGGGAGACACCTGCTGTAGGCTGAAATCCCTTGATTGGGACAAGGACCGCAACACCATCACTGAATGCTGGGAAAGAGTGCTGGATGAGGAGCATGACCAGAAGGACAAAAAAAAGCCAGGAAAGAACCAGACAATTCCGAAGAAGCCCATGAAGGGCCCGGGTGTGTCAAAAGACTCTGTGAAACCGACGCCGATGAAGTCGAAGCCAGCCAAAAAGGCCACCACGTGACAGAAAGCTTGAGGGTGAAAAAGTCCGACAATGAAGCCGATATTCCTTTTATCATTTTATGATAATATATATATATGTATCAAAAGGCTAAAAAGTGTTTATATCTTGTGCATTGCATGGGTCCATCCCTCCATTGATCCACCTGGCCAAAAGTACTAGCCAAGTAACATATCATCATCACAATCCTCGTCCGACAAAGTCTCTTTGTCCGCCTTTGTGTGCATGGTCTTGGTCTCACGTTCATCCTCAGATTCACTGACTTCCTCTTCCTCCTTGTAGACTTTGACTTGTCTCATTTCCTGTGTTCGCAGGATGCAAATCACCACAATCATTTTGGTATAAAAGTTTCTTGATGATTTGTTCAACAACTAATCCCGCCTTGTTGCCGGGAAACTCTGGGTGATCTCGGACCATTTTACCTTTGACCTTTTCCGAGAACAGCGCTGCTGCAAGGCCTGGTGGATCGGATTCGCGCTCGAACCTGGCTGCATGAGAGACCCAGGCTGGACATCAAAGACGAATTGGTGGTATCCCACTTTGTCACCTGTCAAAAAATGATCCTGGCCATTAAGATTATGCACTGTTGTAGCGTTTCAATGAAACATCTATAGGTTAGGAATGGCACCTCTTCTCCAAGTCCTTGAGTGTCATCCAAGCCCGCTTCAGGCTTCTCTTCTTGCGAGTGCGGTGGCACAGGGAGTCCATGGTGCGGCTTTCGTCCCATTTTCCTTCAACATCAATGAGGAGGATTTGTTTGTCCCATAACATGGATGTGAGTTTTGTTGTCCGGACATCTGCAACTCAAACATGCAAATAATAAGCAGCTGCACAGTTATTTTCACACATGGGGATTTCGAGGGGATTTCGTCTCACAGGCTTCGAACGGTTGGGTTAGGCACATCACAGTGGATGAGCACCCTGAGATGTAAAAACTGGCTCACATTGGCAGTAGCAAGGTTACAAGGCATGATTAAAGTCAAATTCTGGCGGACTCCAATGGTGACGCCAGTAAATGTGCAAGTTCCTCTGGAGTTGCACTATTGTTCGAAGGCGATGAACCTTGGCTGCTGCAATGATACGCCGAACTGGAGCGGCGAGGTCCAACATTGGTGGAGTGATGCCAGGTAAATTCATAGCGGTCAAAACGTCTTCGAGTTCCTGCAGTTCGAACATAACCTCATACAGGTTCTGAATCGCACGGTCGATGTGTAACAAGGGAGCAAGGTATGCTTGCATGGATGCCATGGGTTCGACAGGAACGAGGGCCATTGGAAAGTTGCCCAAATCGTTTGATTGCCACACCTGGTTTTGAGCCCAAAACTATGAATCAAACGAAGTATCAAATGACATGTTGTGAGTTGACGTGGAAGACATTCTTCACTCTGATGTCATGCCAACAAAGAAATGTCCCTGCGGGAGATGTTCCATTGATGAGTTGCAATGATTACACAATCATGGAATAAATATCAGGAATGCTTCAGCTGTCAACAGTCCTTTGCATGCAAAGAAATCCTCCAGAAGGTCGCTGTACTCGCCCGACTTTTTTCCTGGGAGAGAAATATTTCCATGAAACAATTTTATTTGCTGTTCAGGAAATTTGGCAAGTGCTTCATGGGCTGAACATCTAAAGTATATACATAATCATATTATATACAATACAATATATATATATATGTATATACACATATATATATACATATACACATATATACATATATATATATATATATATATATATATGTCTATATACATATATACATATGTATTTATATACATATATGTCTCATGGAATAGCATCATTCCCTCACCATCCCCACCTGCTCTGATTTCGCGAGCCAGGGCTTTGATTTCAGCCGGTGTGGTCTTGCCTGGGAGCTTCTCTTGATGAGGCCAACTTGAACCCATCTGGAAAATGCAGCAAAGCACGCTCTTAAATTATTGTTGTCATTTAATTTTCTGTTGGGTCAGCATTACTGAGTATCAGACTTTTCAAAGACCGCTGAAACTGGTTGAGATGACGGTGCCGAAGCTTCTTGACATGCTCGGAAAGCTCCGGCAGCTCATCATCGTTCTTTTCGGGGTCAGTTTCAACCTGGTGCTGCAAATCAGCCGTTGCTGCTCTGTTGAGTGCTGCCAGTGCCTTGGCGTTCAATGTACTTTTGGCCATGGCCTGACCAGGATGTTCACCTTCAGCTGCTGGTGCAGGCTCAGTCTTCACCGAGCTTGAGGGGGCACTGTCGGATGGGGACTGGGGCGGGTCCTCACACCGGTCATCTCCTGCATCTCTTGCTTCTGACTCCTTGACAGAGACTGCATCGTCCTCATCTATCTTTTCCTTCTTGGCCTTCTTCTCCTTCTTATCTTTCTTATCTTTCTTATCTTTCTTGTCTTTCTTTTCCTTCTTTTCTTTCATTTCCACAGGGGTGGATGCATTGCTTTCCGGTTCTGCATTCTCTGCCTCTCAAACAGATGCAATGTGAAGGTCGTCACCATCGTAGTTGTGCACATTCATTCCGAGACAGTTGAAACCAGCCTGTGTCTCTGCAACGTCAGCAGTGCCTCAACAGATCGCATACTGTATAATTTGACTGTTCAATCAATAGTCCATTCAGAAGGTTAACCGAGGGCCAAACATGTTGCATCTTTGGGCGCAGATGCCATCACCGTGGAGTAAGTCCAGGCCTACTGTATCATGCAATTGCAAGTTTCCAAGTTGTAGAAACAATGAAGTTCCCAAACCCAGATCTTGAATCTAGGAATCCAGCCAATCCTCGGCTTGGTCAAGTTTGACACTATAGGTTTGAGGCTGCAATGCCAGCTGGGGACATTGACTCATCAAAATGACAAATTTTGTTCAAAATCCTCTACTGCCAGTAGGGGGTGGCATTTCCCGGTCATTGGTGGCATTTCCCGATCATTGGCCGGCATTTCCCGGTCAACCCCCCGGCATTTCCCGATCATTGGCCGGCATTTCCCGGTCATTGGTTTTTTGCCATTTTGGCCGTTTTCCCCAATTTCTGCAAATGATGCTTCAGGCTGCAAGTGCGGCTCGCAGGGTCACCTAATGACAGATTTTGTTGCTGTCATCCAAAGAAAAGTATGCAGTGAACCACTGACATCCACACTGATTGAATTTTCCTAAGCAGTGGAGGCAATTGCACGGAAATGGATTGAACTGTTCATCAAAATCCATGATCAGAGAAATTAGATCTTCGATTGTGAATCAAGAACTGTGTCTCCGCTTTTGTTTGTTTCAGCTTGCCCCATGCTATGCTCTGGGTGGCTTCGGGCTTTCAGCCTTTGCATTTCAAAAGCCACCAACTCAGAGATTATGGCAAAAATTCTGGCTGAAACGGAAACGTTGGCTTGAACGTACCCTCATCTATTCGTTCCTGGAGAAACATCTCCAGATCTCCTAGATCTGAATATTTCCACTCAGCAGGGTGATCCTGGCACAGATTCATTGGTTTTAGTGCATGCGCACGAACCACAGTTTGAAAATATATGAAATAAACAATCCATGACTAGATCAAATGTGACAGACTGCAGTTAGCCAGCCTTTTGGATCTTGGAGAAATCCATCTTCTTGCCACGTGGCAGATCCTTACTCAAAGCTTGGCAACAAACATACATCATTGGAGTGCAGCAGAAAAACAAGATTCATGGTTCCTGAACTGGGGCTATGACACGTTTGACTTTCAAGTGCTCCGAAATCACACGGGTTGCAAATGTCTTTGGGTATGCACCCGTAGCCTTGAGGTGCTTTCCTCCTGACCTGGGAAGCCGGGAAGCCTAGTTAAACCTGGCAAACTTAATTGTCACAGACCGTGAACAACTCAGTTGCAAACACTTTCCCATTGTGGCGACTGCGTTTCACGATCTCGATCTTGTTCTTGTTTTGAAAGTCCTGATGTACCAAACATACATAAACCCTGAAGGAACCATTTTGAAAGTGTGTGAACTTTCCATGTTGAAAGAAATCAATCATTTCAAATGCACCTTTCCTTGATCTCTGACCGGCGTTTTTGCGTGAGCTTGTTCTGGAACTTTTCAATTGCAGGCCTGGATCGCTCTCAAACTGTTTTTTGGTGTTGTTGATGTTTTTTGACACTGGGGCCCCGACCAAGATCCAAAAAGCATCGTTCTTTTTGGTGATGTTGCTCCAGGAAACGCTCCCATCCAACTGGGCACAGGACACAATTATAGGACAATCAACATGCAAATTTTACATGAACAACACCAACATACACAGCTGAGGGCATGACAACCTTTGGAAGCCGGTGGGAATCAATTTGTCCATGAGCAGCTCTGCAAAGAAGGGCATCTTTGGCAAACGTGAAGACCCAGGCTGTTCCACAGCCCACCATATTTGCCGTGCTACACACAAGAGTATGAGCAGTGCAGCCCTGCCCAAGTGTATGTTGGACTTTCTGACACTCTCCAGGGAGATGTCTCCAAACATATCAAACAACGTGCCACGCTTCGATGTTCCAAGCGACACCCAAATCAAGAGTGAACATGGGATCCCAAGCCAACATAGGGACCCCGGTCGTAGCCGGAGAACCCCCTTGATTGCCGCTAATATGCCTGGCCTCAGGACACCAACACAATAGTTGAAAAGCCATAAAATGGCAAGCTGTATCTTTTGCATAAAACGAAATCACATACAGGGAATTTTGATCTTGGTTAAACTTTTTACACATACTTCGTCTGAGTTGAGGGCACTGACTCCACGTCATGGTGGTCAGGGCGATGGACGATGTCGTAATAATCACTGGCAAAGGCAAATCACATGACCCGGGGTCTCTGACCACAATTTACAAAAGTGCAGTGAAAATCAACTGATGCAGAAGCACGCCTCATCAGCCCCCGCCGGCCTCAATGCCACATGTTTTTTTTGTGTAAGAAAGCCGACTCTTGTTTGAACGGTTTCCATTTTTCGACATTGTTTCCCTGAGATTTCGACATGCTGCCTGGTATATTTTGCTCGTGCCGCTGTACATTTCGTAGATCTCCATGTTCTTAGAAAGGGACACTCTTTAAACGCCTCCATTCAGTTGAGAACTGCGCTGAGACCCAGACACGGGTTGAAGCGGATGCATATGCAGGGGTGTTCTGCACAATGAAATCGATGGCATGTAACCTGAGGCTGAACTTCATGCAGACAAACCTGCTGGTACTGCAAGGCTTGGTTTGAGTATGTCTGGGTTTCGGGCAAAACGAGTGGAGCGCCCATTGCAATCAAACATGCTGCTTGGCCACGTGTGAGTCCAAGCGGGTGATGTTTCTCAACCCCCATTCCCACTGGATTCGATCGCGAAAACCCACTAAGATCCCTTGAAGCCAGATTTGCTCAGAATTAACGGAGTAAGAAATAATACTCAATGAACAACTCTGTCTCATCAAATGGCTGAGTTTGACTTGTTGCAAGACTGGTTCTCCTTTTTTGTTTCCCCAGATCTGCCAAAGTCGACTGTCAAAATTCATGGCGTTGGCAATTATGCCATCACACTCCAGTGCTGCCTGTTGCTAATTCTGCTGCCGTCCATCCTGCCAGGTGCTGTGCCAAGGCCCACCTTGGCGAATCACAGAGGCTAGCTTCACCATTTTTGGGGGGAGGGCTGCACAATCAAAACTTTTTGCTGAGCCACCCTTCAGCAATGCCATATTTGCACATTTTCAAATTACAGCCACCCCCTTTGTCCAGCTGGATTTCCTGGTCGGTCTTGTTGTGCACCTTCTTGACATAGAACCCGGCAGCATGCCTTTGCAAGGCACAGCACAAAACTATATATTATGTCATTTATTCAAGAAACGAATGTTAGAATGCTCTGAGATACGGCCAGAACTTGATCTCAATGCTTTTGCAGTTGGAACTTTGTAGGTGAGGTGGTGCAGGCACTGTAAAACTCTTCTTGTTCTTTTCCAGCAGACCGCTTGGCACAGTGATGGTGCCCAGGCCCTTCAATTTCTCCAGCACCTGGCAATCGAATTTATTGATCAAGCAGGACTGAATGTGTCAAATGCATTTGAAATGACAAACCGTAACAAACTTGATTCCTGGGTTCTGCACGTCTGGTGCAGTGGTTGTTGCTGACTGGAAAAACGCTTCTATGTCAGCACTTGCATAACTGACAGCTTGTGATCTCTTCAATTTCTTGGCCGGTGGAGGGACGACCTCGGTCTGTTCCTGGTGGTTTTCCTGTTCAGGGTCCATGTCAGCAGCCTTAACTGCCACTGTGGGCTCACTGTTCTGTTGCTCTGCTGCCTTCTTCTGTTTCTTTTTCTCCTTTTTTTCCTGTTTCGCCTGGATTTCCTTTGCTTGAAGGTCTCGGTGTAGCTCTCTGACTCGTGCTTGAGCCTGCAATTGCACAAAGATTCAACATGACATGGACTCTTTGTTATGACAGATCCCTGCCTGCAGGATGTCCTGTTCACCATCCGTCTTCCCGGCATAGATTTGCAATGCCGCTGTGGCTGCAGCAGCCGATTCCTCCGTTGTGAGCATCGCGGGTTTGTCTTCCAGGGGCTTGTGGTCCTGCCACAGAACACGATTTGACACTTTGGGGATGGTGTCCTGATGCAAGATTGAATAGGTTTAAATATTTCTATGATATGGTCTAAAAACAGAAACAAGTGGCATTTCTACGTCGACCCCTGGCATTTCTACGTCAACCCCTGGCATTTCTACGTCAACCCCTCGCATTTCTACGTCGAACCCCTGGCATTTCTACGTCGAGCCTACCTTGTCCCACAAGGTATAGTTTAAACATACTGGCATTGATGAGAAAAACACTAAAGGAGGTCCTGGAAAGTTGACTTCACAGTCTTTTTGGTTGCCGCTGGAGATGCAACTTCATTCGCCAGGCCACCAGGCGGGATCACATCCTGCACGGGAACTCAGTATATATGTTGGAACGGCTTTCATGTTGGAACGGCCTCATCGATCTCGATCGGCAATGTGTCCATCTCATCTGGGTTGGTGGCAATGGCCGGCGCTGGCTTCACAGGAGCCTCGATTCAGAATGTTTGATTCTGCACAAGGTTGCAAGCAAAGAATGTTAACAAAAGTTCCTTTTCATGAGCCAATGACTAGTGTGTCATCCATGTGATGTGGCCATGTTTTTAAATTTCTGCCCTTAGGATCTTGTAGGTATTCTGTTTTGACCACGCCTCCATGGGTTTTCCACTTCCCTCTGGGGCAACCTCGAGCTCCTGGAGAATCGAACGAAATACACAGAACATACATGTGGACTTTTTGCATGTATAGATAGAGGGTAGAATATATATATATATAGATTTAAATTGTGTGGAAAGTGTTGAGGTTTCAGTGCATGGTTCCTTTTGGTATCGTTGGAACTCGATGATTACGATCTGGTCATAGTTCTGAAATAAATGTTGAAGTTCACCTGG